AAAACCCCTCAAAACTCCCCAAACCCCCCAGCATGAACGACAACAGCCCACAACCCTCGCTTCTCCTACACCTCATCGCGCGCGCCTGGATTCCGCCTCCCGATCTAGGAATTGCAACCTCCTCGTCGTCCTCCCGTGAAACGTCGACCGTGTATGAGGGAAGCCTCAGGCTCCGCAGCGTTGGCCCCCTCAGCCCGCTGTCAGCCAAAGCACAAAGTTTTCAGGAACAAACAAGTTCCCACCAACGTCGCGAATAGCGAATAGCCTCCTTGCCCCATTCACCAAGCTTTCCTTCCAAGCATTTCTTCAAGCATTTCTTCAAGCATTTCCCTCTTCGCCTTTCCTTTGCTGTCTTTTAAACTCTCCCTTGTGTTTCAGTACATGTCTTCTCGGCATCTTGGCCCCCAAATGGCGTCTTGGCGCCAAGCTGGGAACGTCAAGTCGCTGTAACCAACAAAGCTCAAAACATGTCAATTTGTCCACCAACCATGACATGTTCAGATTCGTCAAGTTTCCATCTTCTTTTCCCATTGTCTCGCCTTGCATCCTTTGTCATCAAGGGCTTGAGGAATCCTTTGTTGAACCCTTTCATGAACCCTCTTTCGCGTTTCCAAGCCCTCTCCGCCAATCCTCCAGCGGCCTTGGTCTTCTTAGCATTCTTCATTGCAATTGGCGTAGTACACGCAGTCGGGCCGTTTCTGCAGCACCTGTTATGTTGCCGCCAGCATCCGATGAGCTTCATCAATCCGTGGGATTAACGCCACCCCCGTGGGTTGAGCCTGAGGGTAGAATGACGCTCGACGTTCTTCGACAAAACATTCGCACCCATCTCTGGTCAGGAAATTGAATGCTGATCACAGAAGCTGTCACTGCACTTTATTTCCCTCGGGACTGTTCCTGGTACCGGGATCGGTCTCTGAACAGTTGTCCACCAACTTTATCCATGGTAATGTCGCGTCGCGGCTCTTGCACTTACCAAAGCGATATAAATCACCCTTTCATTCACATTTGGGCCAAACTCCCATCCAGTATGACGTTTCAGACGTTTCATACTTGACTTTCCTCCGCCCCAGCTGCGGAGAGGAGGCAGACAAGTCGAACAGCGCAACCAAGGATGTCACGTTTGGGCGTCCACCGACGGCACCAGATGTACACTAGATCTTGTACTGGTTGATGGAACGACGGGAGTAGGAACGTACATGTGGCGAGGAGTGAGATGGTAGTTATCGTGTTGAAAAACGAGTTGAGATGGGATATGGAGGTGAGGGATAGGAGTCGGAGGTAGAGGGGAAGAGTGTGAGGAGATTTTGACAGAATGCCCAGACTCAAGTGTTGGACGAGGAAGGCACCACAATAAATAGTGGAACGGCAGGAGCCTTCTATTAGAAGAAAGCTCCACAGAGGCGCTGCTAGCTTTATATAGGCTCCCACTGAGGGAGATACTCCGTCTCTCAATCAATCACTTTACCTGATATACTTTCTACATCAAGCGTTTGGTGATGAATTGCCCGCCTTTGAGTATTGATGTGGACATATGGCTGTGATATCATGTTGTGGTATCGATAAGTAGGTGGGGGTGGTCCGCACCACACACAGCCGACCAATGGAAATCCCCACTATTCTACTCACACCCGACCCCTGTCCAGCCCCTCGCTAAATGCACACCCACACCACGGAATTTTCAACACTACCACCACCACACATATCAAAAACTTCACACTTTGCACCTCACGTCTTGCCTTGTGCAGTCCTCTTTGTTTTGGTATATAGTGTGATTAAAGGTTGGAATTTCCATAATCATTCATCAAGGTGAGATGGCCGAGCGGTTAAGGCGCCAGGTTAAGGTTTACCTTAGCACAAAATTTCCTGGTCACGAAAGTGGCGTGGGTTCAAGTCCCACTCTCATCAATATTGTTCTTTTCTTTTTGCTCTTCTGAGCGCCTTTATGTTGATTGTTCTTGCTTAGCATGTATGTATGATGCATGCAGAAACATCTGTAAAAGGAGGGATAGCTGCCACAGATGGAGAAGGGTGTTTTTTTTGGAGGGGGCCAACAACACTAGCTAGGGCTGGCGAAGCTGTGAGGTTTATTTAATACGGCTGTTTTGACTGGAATGCCGCACCTTCAACATCATACGCAGTCGATGGGAAATCTAGACCGTTGAGATGATGATTCTTTTAATTTTACTCATCTGCATCGCCCTCCGTGCTTCTAACCACTACGCACAAAAATCACTCGTTGACTCCTGAAGCTGCATCAACCATCGTATACGGCATGAATAAAGCACGTACGTTCTTCTGCCACAATAGCGTACTACCCCCGCCATTCTCCCACTTTGAACTATCTTCCATGCATAGACTATTCGTTGCAGAAGAAGAAAAGAAGGCATGGCATTTGCGTAAGTAGGTCGAGTTCCCTGGAGCCGATCATGAGTTGGATTGCACGGTAGTTGATACGAATAGTTCTGAGATGAAGGTGAAAGAGGGAGCTTGTGGTACATGTATATCGAGATGTCTTGCAGAAATTGAGCTTCGGGGACTTTCGATGCTTTACGTTTTCCGTACAGGTCAGACATGGCATCACGTGACCGTATCGATTGTGCATCCGACGTCTTGTCGCCGAACTGGTCTACGATGTAATTATACATTCAATGGTCACTTTCCGTGATTGATAATCTCAAAAGGAACGTTCATCATGATATCCTGTACAAGAAGTTGAAAAAAATATCTCTCTTGTATGATGCGCGGCGCTCCATCGAAGGTTCATGGCAAGAGAGAGAGAGAGAGGCATAACAAATAAAAGAAGAATAGTTTCGAAACGCATATGATGAATTTGTGCAAACACAAGTCAACTAATGGCCAACAAGTTGACTTTGAAACCGTGTCGTCCACCTCGGATTCAATGTTGGACCCCGCCTAATTTGTCCCGAGGTAATAGATAAATTCATTGGTCTGTCTTCCCTGCCATTTCAAGCAATAACAACAACAACAACGACTACAAGGCACGCGAACACTTAACATTCTGTCACGTATCGTTACGCACTATGCACATATAACACTTGTTCTATTTCTATTTTTATTTCCTGGCTTCGTTGACTAACATGTCGCCCCGACCTTACTTCGACGACAAACACCATGTCCTCCCCTTTGACCAAGTCATGTCGCTTGAGAAGATCGACGATCGAACGTTCCGGTCCATCGTAAGAGCGTATTCTCCCACAGGAGGGCAGAATGGAACATACGGCGGTCATGTGTATGCACAGGCTGCTTGGGCGGCAGCGCAGACGGTAGATGCCGGTTATCTGATTCACGTACGTATGGGGAGACCCGGGGGGGAGGCGTGACAATCACAGAGTATGCTCGGGATAGATAGATGGCTGATTCTCTGCCGTAGAACATTACCGGCTGGTTCACCCTCGGGGGCCAACCGAGAGAACACTTTGTCTACACAGTACACAAGATTCGCGATGGCTACAACTACTGCACGCGCTCCGTTACCGTCACCCAGGCAGTGGAGAAGGGGACAATGTTCACGTGCACCTGTTCTTTCAAGCGCGACGAAGGCTCTCCCGTCGAGTATCAAGATAAAATTCATCTCAAGGAACGCTTCTCCACGGTCCTACGTGGAAAAGAACACGAACCGATGCAACATGCCGCCGCGCCAAGCCAGGACTCTGAATGGTTTCGAGAGACGTATCTACCGCAGCATCCGGATCATTTCAACCCAATAGCCGGTCTGCACCTTCGAAAAGCGGACATGTCAAGTTACAATCGCGACCGCCAAGCAATAGACAAGAGACAGCTCACATTCTACACACTCCGCGGCTCCCTACCTCTGCCGACCACCACCGCTACCACCACCACCACCACCACGTGGGCTCCCTATCCGTCTGCGCCAGACCCAGACTCTCACGCACCCGTTTCCCTGACCCGAGATGCGAATCTCCACGCTTGCGCTCATCTCTACGCATCGGACCGCAACTCCCTCTTCATCATCCCCACCCACCTCGATCTCGCCCGCGAATACACGCGCATGGCCTCGCTCTCACACACTGTAATCTTCCACGTAGGCATCCTCGACCTCGTCATGCCACCGGAACCGCACATCCACCACCCTGACGCAGATCCGACGCTCTTGTTGGATGACGGTTCTTCGCCAATACTACTACCCTCGTGCAACGTCGACGTCGAGGCAGATCTGCAGGGGAGGGGGAGGGGGCGCGACGGGGACGGGGACGGGGACGGGGACGGCAGGAAGTGGTTCGTGCAGGAGTCCTGGGTCTCGCGCGCAGCGGGGGGTCGGGGACTGCATAATAGTCGTCTTTGGGATTATGAAAGGGGAGTGCATATCGCGACCACGATGCAGGATGGGTTGATTAGATTTGAGTCTGGGATGAAACTATAAGGGGGGGGGGTAGTAATTAATACTGGCTTACCTATCCTATCCTATCCTATCCTATCTTATCTTATAATTACACTAATAAGCTGCTGCAAAGTGCTACAGACTGTACATACATACATACTGGGAAACTACTAACAAACATATAGTGAAGTTTATCCATGCATCCATGCATGCATGCATGCATCCATCCATCAGAAAACCCCCCACAAACCCACACCTATCCAGAACTTTTCTTTCCCCTCCCCGCTGGCATGTATGAAAAGATATCTACGACGTAGAGGACATGATGCATCGATCCGCCGAGACGAGACGATCCGAACCAGATGTATCTAATTAACTATTATGTATGTACATTTATGTAAATCTTTTCGAGACTCCACTGCCTTCCCTTCCGTCCCTTCCCTTCCGTCCCTTCCGTCCCGCGCTGTTCCGCCCCCCACACATTCCATTCCGATTCATTCCGCTCCATTCCGCTCCGCACCCCTGCTGCTAGCTAGCTAGCTAGCTAGCCGACAAGGTGATATGTAGACAAGGTGATGGAATAATAATTAGCGCTGATTTTCTTTTTGTTGTTGTTGGATTATAGATAGATTAGTAACTACCGTACCGTGCCGTGCCGTACCGTACCGTACCGTACCGTACTGTGTTTGTGGTGCATGGAGCATAGATGGATAGATAGATGGATAGATGGATGGATGGATGGTTGATTGATTTATCCGTCCGTCTGTCTTGTTAGTTGGGGGTTTGTGTAAAAGGGGAGGGGGGGGTGGTTGAAGAGGGAAGTGTATGTATGTATGTATATATATATGTATATGTATATGTAAGATTGTTATTAATAGTTAATTACCCAAACTAGATTTTAATACATGGGATATTAAATGAAGCAAACGAAAAACTCCGCATTTATTAGTAGATGATATGTATAAAAAAAAAAAGAAAAAAAAAAGAAAAAAAAAGGGGGGGG